CATTATATATTACAGTATTAGTTATATTAGAATATTGACATCTCGTGTGTTTTTAATTTACTATTCACACATGATACAAAATGGGTTTACATTATGTATTTTCTATTTGAAAATCTATCTGGTGTGAAAATGTCTTTTCAAGATACTGTATTCTACTGTAAAACTATTATACCTACAAATGCCTAAAACACCTTATAAATCATTTTTAGAATTAGCGGGACAATGAGTGGATTGATTTCATGTAGTCGCTTCACATGAATTAGAACTATTATTTGATCTGCCTTCGTTATTAATATCATTTTCTTGTGTGGAATAGTAATACATATTATTAATTAAGTTTTCATTATTTGTAATTTCCGAATCATTATTATTAAGGAATTGGAGCTCATGAGAGATAAACGGAAAATTTTGGTCTTGTAGCATATTATTTTGTTGATTTCCCGAGATGCTTGGAGAAGAATAAAGTAACGGTAATGATGAATGATTAGCCAAAGAACTGCTAAACATGTGCATCTGAGTAGTAATACGAGTTGCAGGTAGAGTTGACCAGGGATTAAATAATATTGGAGTAGAGAGCTTTGTAGCAGTGTTTGAAATCATATGTGATACAGAATTATAAGGATCATAATTATTCATCGTTGAATTGGAAGTTGACGAAGATTCTGGTGAAATAGAATTGTGACTTCCAACACTGTAATTTTGGTCGATATAGTCATGTTCAGTGTAGTTGTTATTTCCGTAATCATCTTGATGACGGTTCCATAATAAGACGGAATCTGTTCCGTTTTGAGGATAGAAAATAGGACCGTATGGGAGTTGCTTTGATATACGTCTTTTCTTTTTTGCTTTTTTTGAATTTCGATTAACTTTCGGCATTTTTTCTGCTTTGACGATGTCTTCTTCTGGTTGAAGAGATCGAAGTTCTTGAAATGCTTGTGGAGGTAATAGCTTTTTCTCGTTTTCTAGGCAATAACAATATATGTGAGATTCCATATTTTATATCGAAAATAATTTGAAAAAAAAAGAATTTTCACCTTTTCCATCCTCATAAATAATCATATGTTGATAAGTACCGTTAAACTTTATAGATATTGTCTTTTTCAAAAGGCCGTTATTACGAAGGATAAATGTTCCTTTACTGCATTGATGGACTTTTAATCCTTCTGCTTGAACTCTTCTTTGCAAGATCTCGTCTATTGGTTCATCTCGTTTTACACTTCGGTCGCGAGTAGCTAATTCACGATATACCAAGAAATCTTTGATGATTCGACTAGGGGACCAAAGACTATAAAGCAATAATAATATTAATTTTGAAATGCTCAAAAGTAGACACAAAAGTTAAGTCATTTGAAAAAAGTACGTACCGTCCGTCGGTCCATCTCTTGATTCCTGATTCGTTTTCATCAAATACATAACTAAAAACAATGTTATTAATGTTAATTAAATATTAACGATATGTGTAGTTTTTAAAAAAGAAAAGATACTCACACTTGTCCGCTTCGCAGTTCCTCCTTTTCTTTTTCTAATAGACGACGCGTAGTTCTTTGAAGAATTCCTCTACGGCATGCCTCTGCCAATCACAGAGCAAAAAAAAAACCAAAGAAGGGTTAAACAGTGAAGACTAAAAATTTATCTAAAAAAAAAACCGTAACTGGTCTTACCAAAAATGATCATTGCATCGTTTACGGTTTGAACTTTACCTACATGAACAAAAGATCACGTAATTTAAGATTCGTATTTGGTTTCAAATGATTATATTTGGCAGACTCTCAAAAATAATGACATTCATAATTTCAAATTAGCAAATTAGCATTTATGAACATACCATTGAAAGTTTCCATGAGTTTTAAAAGACAGTAAGATATAAATATTACGCGGGAGAAATAGTGAATCTTAGTCAAAGAAATAATTACTTTCTTTTTTAATAATTACAATAACCTTTTTACAGTTTTATATAATTTTTTGTAAAAATATTTTTTTTATATAGAAGGGGTACTATTTTCTATTATATGGGCGTTTTAGAACATGCCGACGATCGATACGAGTTAATTTAGACACAAGATGCTCCTTTCAATTGAGTTATATATATGTGTGTTTATATATAATTAAAAGAATTTGACAAGAGGGTATCAAATAATTAAGATGCATTGATTGATTAGTGAATGAATCAGATATAAATCCACAAGTTATTTTATTATTATATTATTATTATATTTTTTTTTATTATTCTTTTTGGTTTT